TTGGTGAGATTCTGTCTAGTAGGTGTAAGCTAATAAAGTAACTGAACGGTTCCTGAATTGTCCCATTGAGTTTCTTGGGCTGAACCTGACAGTTTGTTTTTCAAAGGCTAATCAATGAAGATACTTTTTAAGTTTTAAAAGAACAGTAGGTAAATTTATATATGAGAAAATAATTACCTTGGATCCAGATCTTCACCAATAATTTCTTCCAGTTTATCAATGAAGTGAATAAACTGAGAAAGCCCCTTCACATGAGTTCTTAAAGGATCAGTTGGTGAAGGAGCGTATCCTTTTCCTCCAAGTTCTATGGCACGTATAAATGAAGTTGCCATCTAACAAGAAACACGTAATTTAGCTATGTAAAGTGTTAATAGAAACTCAGGGACAGTTTTTTTAAATGAATTCTTTATAAAAGAAATAAGAAAACTTTTACTTAATTAAATATGCATTAATTGTATATTGGAAATTGAAATAATTAATCCTTCACTGTTTTTCTGTATTCAATCATAATACATCAAATTTATGCTCAGTTTTACTTTTAGGATCTTAGATTGCAATATGATGTTCTAGTTTTGCTTCTGGATTTTCCTATGGCTCTGATAATGAGCAAATATCAATATTTCTAAGGTTATAACAAAAGCAGTAAGCCAGGATGATATGAACACCAGCATTTTCTGCCCCCCCCCTTTTTTCCTGTAACATGCTGGGAAAAGCCAGTGCATATGGAAGACATTTCCTTTCACATGGCAAATCGCAGCATGTATAAGTCTCCATTTGGGACTACCCACAAGACTGCTGAATATCCAGCTCTGGGAATGAGTACTTTTTAGTCTTCTTTGTTTCTTTTACAATTAAAACAATCCAGAGAGTTCTAGTGTATCCCAGCACACATAACCAAACTTTTCTTCTTCTTTCAATAGCAGTGCCAATACATATTGTATCCAATTGTTCAGAAATCCCCAGATTTCAGAAGGGACCTACTATACAATAGAAATAACTGTTGAAAAATAAAATATGCTACAAAATGTAGACTGAGTAGAGGATGCTCTGTTTTACAGCCTAACAACACAATCTTACAGCTCAAAAAATAACCACTAATTATGTTATTTTAGACTGAAATCTTATATTATTTTAAAATAATGGTGCAAAGTATAGCATCTCAGCTCATATTGAAAACTGCTAGGCATATTTGGTTATTAACTGGTAGATAGTTATATCTGATCCCGAATCACATGAGAAATTGAAGCTATGGTATAATTAAATTCAAAAATAGCAACAAAGATTTCTATTGGAATACTTGGGTTGAACAAGGGATTAATATTTTAAATCAAGTGATTTCTAATGATTGTTTCAATGATCTTGAGAAATTATGTTTTAAGTTTGACTTACTTCCAATATACCGTATTTTTCCGACAATAAGACACCCCCATATACAAGACGACCCCCACTTTTCCAACCCAAAATTAAGAAATCAA